TTTAGAGAGTTAAATTATAGATAAAAACATCGGCTGTTTAAGTTAAACAAAAGGAAAATGCGGAGCGCAAAACAAAAACAGGTCCGGTCACTACGGAAGAGAACGAATTCGAATTTTATACAATTGTCTTCTATTATTTGCTTAGTTTCTTTGCTATATATTTTGTCTTCGTAACCATAATATTTATCGAATATTAATTCTGTTAAAATATTATTTTGATTATCTGGATATGGGACAATTTTGTATACTGGGACATTAGCAATTTCGCTCGGAATATTGGAGATTATATAGATTTCATTTGTATCAACTTTTAGCCATGTAGAAGTGTTATGATCCGCCTTTTTGCCGCCCTGGTATATCGCTCCCAGGTAGCTCTCGGGTAAGTCAGGGGTGTTTCCGACCCGATACCCAGGGGACGGATTAAACAAAAATTATCTACTAACACACAATTGACACATCCAAAAAACAGTTGGAATCCTCTTCGTTGGCACTCTCTTCGGCGGGGTCAGTGGATGTCATTGACCATGGCGAGGCCCTCCCTTCCATGAGCGTCCCGTTTTATTTGGTGAGCGCTCCCAATTTAATCTCGGCTGGTCCTCCTCTCTCTCTCTCTCGTCCCACCCACCCTCAGGTCTCTACTCCATCATAATTTCTTTCAATGTTCTTCTAAATTCATGTTTTATTATTTTAACTAATAGGCTGTTTACATTGGGACTGCGTCATGCTTCTTTGCGTCTTGGCGAAGACGCAGTTTTTTTTACATAGGTTAAGCATAGGCAAAAAGTTGCGTCGGTCGCTGATTCATGTGCGTCTATTCGATATATTCGATTGCTTTTGCGCTTAACTGCACATTTTTGCACTTTTCTGCCTATCAGCGCAACTATCACCTCTAAGAACAACAAAAACTTGTAGTTAAAAAATTAAATTTTGGCGCTAAAATGAATGGTTGTGCAAAAAGGTGAAAATATACATAAAATCATGAAATAAAATACTTGAAACTGATTGTATTATTATCATACGACATTTTTGTGATCCCCTGATGCCATTATGACACTGCTGGAGACGAACTTCGATGGTTTTCATAATTTTAAGAAGGACTCCCACAAGCTCTACAAAGAAATGTCTGAAAATAATAAATAAATATAAGAATCAATTCTCTTTCGTCCATTTTCTTGTCGTCTTGCATAATTCTGTTGATTTCTCAAAATTTGTTTACTTTCCTTGTCATCAAGCACTCACATCAAAATTCAAGACGCACGTCTGCCAATGTAAACGCCTTTTCTGCTTCATTGCGTCTATTCCGATATCGATAGCAGACGCGCCCAGTGTAAAAAGGCTATAAATCTACTTATCTCCTATAACATTTTATACTGTTACTAAACTCAAATAACGAAAATATATACTAACATAAAAAAAATACTAACATTAAAAAAAAAAACATACAAAACCTATTTCATCCGACGTGGCAGCCCCTTTTTTTGATCGAAAACCACAAAACGTAAACAAACTGAAACAGAATGAATGAAATAAATAATCTTAAACTAAAAAGAGCTCTTGTTAGTAAGTTGCATACGTAAGTTGGATTATATAAAAATGGATCGGGGAGGGGTGTGTCGTTCGGGAGTGAAAAAATAGCCTCCGTTTAAATTTTGAAACGAACAAAAATTATCTGTTTTACTATATTTTCTTCTTCTTTATTCTATTGCAGATCTCTACTCTCTATATTTTTGGTTTTGTTGGTAAAGAGTGTCTCCGGGATAAAAATGAATATACGTGAATCGGCGTTTGTGTAAAGGGATATGTGGGGTACTAGCTAGGAATGTGATTGATGAGTGCAGGGTGCTAATTTGGTTTTATTTTGTGTTATGGGGTATACGTGCGGGTTCGGTGGAGTGTGATTTGTGAGTGATGTGTGTATGACTGTGTGATGTGGTGGAACGGGCGGGTTGTTGCGGATCAGGCTGATTGTTGCGGATCAGGCTGCCGTCTGTCGATGGGCGGATCCGTGCGGCCCGCAGTCCTCGTCTCGTGGCTTTCCGGCCTGGGGTCTGCCGTGTCCGCTGCAGTCGTCTCCTCCTTCCTGCGCCGTCGTCGTCTCCTGGCTTCAATTGTCGGGGCCGGGTTTTGGTCCCGCTGCCGAATTTGCGTCCTGAAGATACTGTTGCCGTTGTGAGTTTCTCGCCACTGTCTTATTTAATTTGGTTCTCTAACTCTTCTCTCTTTTTTTTTATAGGCACATGTGGCCTGCTTTGATCTCTCCCAGAAACTGACCCTCGGAATCTAACCTTCACGGCCTCGTTTTTTCTTTTCCAGCCTTGCCACCTTGCTCCCTCCTTGCAACCTTGTTACAGCCTCCCAGGATCCACAACAGAGGCCGCTGTCTCCTCTCCTTCTCCAGCCCTATCGGCTAACGGCTCCTTCAAAAAAAGCCGTCCATAACACCACACTCCCGTTTAAAGGTCCTGCCGTCGAAACGGGAGTGCAAAACCTAGGCGGTTTCCGGATCTTATCAGCTCAAATGTAGGCCATCGCCCACACCCTGAGATCCTCGTCTCACGCTCTACCGACTTATATGACCGGGCTACTGCTTTAGATCTTTAGCATGGAACACTCCTATCCGTGCCCCTTGCAGTGTCTCCAGTTCATATAAGCTGTTTCCTAAGCTCCGGACCACTCTGCACTTTCCATACTTCGGACTAAACTTGGCATTGATATTGTTTTTAAAATTGCTTAATATGAAGTTCCGCTTATACACTTCCTGTCCAGGTAAGTACCGGATCTCTTTTGCCTTTCGATCATACCGTTTCTTCGCTCTCTTGTAGGCCTCATGCGAATTCTTCCGGACCTCATCGCGGATGATCTCCTGCTGGTCTTGTCTTGCCACGAGTGATACCTGCGCATCGTTCAGGGCTCCCAGCCTCCGTGCTAGTTTGTAGTCCCGCCCGCTGGTGAACATGTGCTGTCCGAACAGCACGAAGTATGGTGACGTGCCGATGCCTGTGTGTATCGCACTCCTGGCCGCACACTGTATCTCCGTGAGCTTCTCATCCCAGCGCGTATGATCGTCGCCTACGTATGTCCGGATGGCTGCCTGGACTGTCTGGTTTACGCGTTCTGCTGCGTTTGCCTGAGGGGCATAGTTCCCCGATCTCATATGGGTAATGCTCCTCTTGTTCAGGAATTGTGTGAATTCCGCCGACACAAACTGCTTGCCATTATCGGTGTGTACCGTTTCGGGCACTCCAAACTGCGGGAAGACCTCTTCTCGTAGGAATCGGATTACGACTGCGGAAGTGGCCTTCGACATGGCTTTTAGCCAAACATATTTCGACATGTGGTCGAGGACTATCAGTATGACCACATTCCCGCTTCTCGTTCTAGGATATGGACCCAAAAAATCAAGATAAAGCTTTTGGATCGGCCTCTCGGTTACTGTTTCCGCCCCCATGAGTGGACGTTTAATCTGCGTTGAGTGCTTTGTCTCCCTACAGGTTTCACAGCCGGTCACGTACGCCTTCACCTGTACTGTCATACGGGGCCAATAGTAATACTGCCGCAGGCGTCCCAGTGTCCTCGCGATACCTCCATGCATTGCCACGTCGCTATCGTGTGCCTCCTGGATCAGCGTGTTCGTCAGTGCTTCTGGAATCCACAGCTTCCACTGGAACTCCTCCAACTCTGGCCGGGCAAATTGTGTACGCCTAAACAGCAGGCCATCCTCCACCTTCAGGTCTGGAAAGTTGTCCCTATCCTGCTGAACTGTCTCTATCCTCCCCTGGTATTCCTCGGCTTCGAATGCTGTGGTGTCGAAGTCCAGGAAGTCGATCGCCTCTACGTCAAACGGACGGGACAGCATATCCGCGACTACGTTGTCCTTCCCCTTGGGGTGCTCTATCTCGAAATCATACGCCTGGAGAGCTAATGACCATCTAGCTAGTCTCCCATCCAGCGCCTTGAACTTCATCAGCCACTGCAAGCTTGCGTGATCCGTTATCACCGTGAATGGCATCAGCTCTACGTAAGCCCGGAACTTCTCTATTGCCTTCACCGCAGCTAAACACTCTTTTTCAGGAACGCTGTAATTCATACTTGTGGATGAATCTTGCTCCAATCCCCACGTGGCTCGCATCACACTGGATAAAAAAGTGTTTCTTAAAGTCCGGGTGGCGTAACAAGGGAGCGCTGGTAAGTGCTTTTTTAGCTTCTCGAACGACTCGCTCGCTTCTACCGTGAGCTTAAATGAACCTTTCCCTTTCAGACAGTCTGTGAGATGAGCTGATAATGCCGAGAAATTTCGAATAAACCGGCGAGACCAGCCGGCTGTCCCCAAAAATCTCCGAATTTGTCGCACGTTCGTCGGCATCGGAATCTGCGTGATCGCCTGTACCTTTTCCGGATCGGTCCTCAGTGCGCCGTCTCCTACGATGTACCCTAGGTACTTCAGGTATTTATATACGAACCTCGACTTCTTTTTCCCGATTGTCAAATTCGCCTCATTGAGACACTTTGCCACCTCCTCCAACAGCTTCATGTGTTCCTCGAACGTCCGGGAAATGACTAGCAGGTCATCCAAATATACGAAGACATGGCTTCGTACTCGCTGGGGAATCACGCGGTCCATTAATCGACACAGCTGCTGTGCTGCGTTGCACAATCCGAACGGCATCGACTTAAATTGATAGAGTGGTCTCCCTGGCACCGTAAATGCTGTATACGTTCGACTTTCGGGCTGCCATCTGCCAAAAGGCGTGCTTCAAGTCAATGCTGCTAATGAACACGGTGTCCTCCACCCGGCTCAGGATCGATTCGATGCTCTGCAGTGGGTAAGCATCCTTGATTGTTAGCTTGTTTAGCTTCCGCGCATTCAAACATAATCGGTTTTTCCCGGCTTTCTCACTAGCATCACCCAATTGCTCCACGGACTTTCGCTGAGTTCGATGACTCCTAGGCGCAGCATCTCATCAACCTCCGCAAACAACAACTCCTGCACTGCCGGGATACCGGATAGAAGCGCTCCTTGACGGGTACTGCCCCCTCGACTAGGCGTATCTCGTGATTTTCGATCTTCGTTCTCCCTAGACCGTGTGCATCGAACGACCGAAACTTCTCCTTCACTTGGTCCAGCCGTGTCTGTTGGGAGTGTGTCAACTCGTGGGGTTCCATCGGTCTACTCCTCGTCAGCAGTTCGGCCTCGATTTCAGCTACCTCTTCTCCTTGTTCCCGGCTTACTATCTGCGGCGCCAGTCCAAATTTTTGCCAGAAATCGACTCCCAGGTACAAAGGCTGTTTCAGCGAGGGACACAGGAACAATTCCATGGTATGCTTCTGGCCTCCGTAGGTCATCAATGCCGTCACATGACCCAGGATTTGATGAGGCGTGCCTCCTGCGGTTTGTACTGAGGATTTCGTGGACTCTTGAAGTTTCAGTTCTAATTCGTCAATTAACTCCTTTCCACCTCTTCCCAGCAGGCTGACTGATGCCCCTGTATCCAGCAAACCCATCAGTTTCATCGAGCCCAGGCTCACTTGCGTAAATGGTCGGTCATCCTGGCTCAGTGCAGAGCGGATTGCTGCACATATGCCGCGTCTCCTCCTCTGGCGTGCCTGGAACCTGACCCGAGCTCTCTGTGTTCTGGCTGAACCTGTTCGAGCGATCTCTTCCACCTCGTCTCCCATTATCCTCTTCCGGGTCTGCTCGTATCGATGCTGCATTTCTGCTAACGGCTTACGCTCCGACCATCTTGCCCCAGGTAGCACTGCCTGGTTTACCTTAAAGATTGTACTATATATGTTTTTATCCTTAATACTAGGTATGTCCCCTATAGGTGACTGTAAATTAATGTTGGAGGACGGAATTACTGATTGCTTATGGACTTGGAACCCGGCTCCTCCTGTGTCGCGCTCCTTTTTGCATTTCCCGGTGGACATTTCGGGCATTTGGGAAGGATTATCCCGGCCAGCCCACACTTATAGCAGAAAATGTTCCGCACTGCTGACTCGCACTCAAAATATGTGTGCCCCAGCTGAGCGCAATTCCAGCACTTCAGCTGTGTGCGATCGCCCCCAGACTCCTTCGTCCTATAGACTGCATCCAGCGCCTCTGCCGGTCCATCTGGGTCGTGATTATTTACCTCAAGTTCATACACCTTGTGGTCTTCTCTACGCCTGTTCGTCCCATGATCTGGACCGCTTCTCGCCCATCGCGTCGACAGCAGCTTCTCGGTGTCTGCACATTCTTCCCTTAGCTTCTGCATATTGGTTATCTGCATCGGGTAAATGACTCGCGACACTGCGTCTCTGACATTAACCTTAATAATCTTTATTAGGTCGTGATCCGAGAAGGGATTCAGCAACCTCGACCTCAACACTAGCATCTCCTGAATATACAGATACGTCGACTCTCCGTGTCGTTGTCGGCGTTCCCTGAGCTCTTGCCCCCGCTTGAATTCTGTTCGCCGCAATTGAAATCGCTGCTGTAGTCCATATCGCAGGTTCGGCCAATCCGGAACTCCTACCGTCCTCACGTGCATCCAGTACCAATCCCTCGCATGGCCGGTTACCAATGTGTGAAAGGCTTTCAGAAGATCCGAAAATTCTACCTGGTATACTGACTGTAAATGCTCTACCCAGAAGATAAACTCCGCCACGGGCATCCCCTTTGGATCGCCATCGAAGCTGAGTCCCCATCAACGAATCTGCACTTGATCCAGCTTGGCCTCCCCGTTGCTTGGACGATTCCGGTTAAGGTTTGTTCCTGCGCCCCTTGTGTTTGCCAACCAATCATCTACCGGTCTCTGTTCCGCATGGGACCTCTGCTCAGACTCTAACGTGCGGTTGTCTACGAATAGGTGTGTTGGCTGTGCTTGTTGGTACGAAGGCGCTTGCGGTTCCCCTCTTCCTGGACTGGCTGGCTGGCGATCGGGGATCGAACCGATTCCTTTTGTCCACATCACTCGGCGTTCGTTCCGCTTTTAGCGAGCCTACTACGGCGTTGATTCCTCGCATGAACTCTAGCATATCGGCTTTCACCGATGACCTTAGCGCCTCCATTTGCTGCCCAAACGAAGCTCGGTACGTCTCATGGGCTTGGACGAATGCCGCATTTATCGCCGATCTTATTTTCGGGGATATCTCCTGGTACTTACGGGTTCCCTGACCTCCTATTGCCCCAGCCTCAGCGTTTCCTAAGTACAGCAACTCGTGTTCGCTGTCCGTCCCTTGAGTCGCCACTTCCGGCCTACCGACGGTTTTCCCGTCCTGGGACCGCGTCGTCGGCATTTTTTAGGGTTGGTATCGGCGTTGTGCCTCCGGACTACGCCTTGTTTTTCCCGACCCTTTGAAAATTTCCGAGTCACTCATCAACAACTATTCCACTAGACAAAAACTAATTTGATCGATCACACATAAATACGTTCAAAGAATACCAAAAATACTCAAGCAAGCCGGTCGTGTTTCTGCATCGCTCTCGCATTTTTCGCCTAATCAAAAAAAAAAAAAAGAAACTTATAAACTGTAATTAATTCAATTTGGTCTTAAGTATCGGAGTTACACACATATTCATATTTTATAAAGCTTGTGTATACTCAGTGTTTTAAATTGATTTATTAACTTATAATTTTTCTGTGGCTGCCGAACAAACATGCATACATACATACATCTAACTGTGGAGCGTTGCATTGCATTGTTTTTGTTTAGACAATTGTTATTGCTATTCGATCGGTTGCTTTGCTTTGCTTTGACTCATCGACTCATTGCAATTTTGCACTCGCCGTTCTCGCGCATAATCCGTTGCACTGCCTACTCACTCTCTGGATTTCACGCGAGCTGCACTCTGGCTCTCACTCTCACCATACTACGCCTGCATTCTTCGTTTATGGACTAATATCTCAGCCCCTCTGCTTTGCTTTATTGGAGTTCGCCGTTAGCTTTCGTCACTTCGCTGCGCCGTCTGCCCTGTATATATGTACATACATACGTACATACATAACTGCTGATCATCGTGCTCTTTCTGCTGCCTCTGCTGCTGCCTAGTCTCTCATCTAGCTTGTCCTCTCAGTGCGTCTTTTTTCTCGCTGTGCACAGTGACCCAACAGCTGTTGAAAATGGCTCTTATCTGCAGTGCAAAGAAATGCGAATTTGGTGGCACCATTAACGGTGATTCCTACCTCAGCTGCTGGCTTTGTGATAATTACGCTCATATAAAATGTGCTGGAGGTGGTCACTTTGGACGTCTTAATGACTTAATATCTAAACGCATGGGTCTTACTTGGTCATGTTTGACCTGCAGGGAGATTGAGGCGGAAATGCGCACCTTTATGAGACAAACGAGGAATGGTATCCAAGATGTTCGGAAGCAATTCAATGCTCTCAACGAGAAGTTCCTTACGTTGGAATCGCAATTTCTGGTCCTCAAACTCTTGAGCGAGTCACCAAGGAGGAAAATACCGAACAGCAACCTACTGCTGGTCTTACCTAGTGGAACGCCTGCCTCTCACCTACAACCGATGGACTCATTTTCTAGTCCTAGTGGCCAACCTTCACCGATGGATGTCCATCCGCCATCGGAGGATCCAGCCTTTCTCACGCCTAACAACATAGTAGTTGCCTCAAAAATCCACTGGATCGTCCATCATTCGCTGGTGGGGTTCTTATTGCAGTGAAAACGGCATTTGCATCCGAGCTGTTTCCATTCAACAACATCCATGGTATCGAATTCGTTGCAGTCAAAGTCCGTATTGGAACAGCATATATCTTTTTGACCTGTTCTTATATCCCACCCAGATCTGATGAAGTTGTTTATTTGAACCACCTTTCTGCAATTCGATCTGTAGTTTCTGCTTTAGGCTGTGCTGATCAGATACTAGTTATGGGTGACTTCAACATCCCATCTCTATCTTGGCAACAGGATGATTCAAACATGTTGCTACCTGGAAGTCAACATGATTTCGTCGAGGGGGTAACTGACGTCTCGCTTGCCCAAATTAACTCTGTCAGAAATAATAGAGATAGACTGTTAGATCTCATCTTTGTCAGCGATGCCTCTCGTACAACGGTTTTAAAAGGCAGTCCGATATCTTTTCCTGAAGATCCGCATCATCCTACTTTATCTATATTTTTCGAGGTCTCTATTACTAACACCATTTTACCTTCAAAAAGTCGTATAAAATGTTTTTGCAAAACTAATTTTATCGATCTTTGTCTACATCTCTCGCAAGTTAATTGGTCCTTTCTTCAGTCCTCATCTCATATAGAGCCTACTGTCAATCTGTTTTACGAAACATTATACTCTGCCCTCGATACCTACGTCCCTGAAGTCACCGTATTTGTTTCTTCTAAGCCTCCGTGGTTTTCCAAGTATCTGTCTTACATAAAAAATAAAAAATCTCGGCTCTACAAAAAGTACCAGATAACTGGTTTTTTGTCTGTCTTTGCTCAATATTCTTCGGTTCGCTCTCAATTTCTTAAGGTCAATAAGAAATGTTATAACGTATATCTTTCCCAATGTGGCAAAAATTTCCGTAGTAATCCCAAAAAATTCTTTTCGTTCGTCAACTCAAAACGCAAGTCTAACGCGTTCCCTTCTTCCCTTCAGTTACAGTCTAAAACAGAAACTTCAGATCAAGGAATTGCAAATTTTTTTGCCACCTTCTTTCAATCGACGTACTCCTCGGATAATTATGACTCCTCCACCCCTTATCCATATCATCTAGCTCATGTTAATAACGTGTTTCTTCCCTTCCTTGATGAAAGTACAGTCTTCGAAGGGTTGTCATCAATTGACATCTGTTTCTCTGCGGGTCCAGATAAAGTTCCCAGCTGTATTTTAAAATACTGCGCTCAAGCCCTATCTCATCCTTTGACCTTCTTATTTAATCCACCGAGATACCTTCTGTTGGGAAGCTAGCATCTCCTCTGCCAGAGACAGCGGTACCAGATAAAAAGTACCAGATAACTGGTTCTTTGTCTGTCTTTGCTCAATATTCTTCGGTTCGCTCTCAATTTCTTAAGGTCAATAAGAAATGTTATAACGTATATCTTTCCCAATGTGGCAAAAATTTCCGTAGTAATCCCAACAAATTCTTTTCGTTCGTCAACTCAAAACGCAAGTCTAACGCGTTCCCTTCTTCCCTTCAGTTACAGTCTAAAACAGAAACTTCAGATCAAGGAATTGCAAATTTTTTTGCCACCTTCTGTCAATCGACGTACTCCTCGGATAATTATGACTCCTCCACCCCTTATCCATATCATCTAGCTCATGTTAATAACGTGTTTCTTCCCTTCCTTGATGAAAGTACAGTCTTCGAAGGGTTGTCATCAATTGACATCTGTTTCTCTGCGGGTCCAGATAAAGTTCCGAGCTGTATTTTAAAATACTGCGCTCAAGCCCTATCTCATCCTTTGACCTTCTTATTTAATTTATCCCTGGAGCATTCTCGCCTCCCCATGATCTGGAATGAATCCTACCTTATTCCTCTTCACAAGAAAAGGTCCTGATCTAATATCGAAAATTATCGTGGTATTGCTAAACTATCTGCCATTCCGAAATTGCTCGAGCACCTTGTTACTCGTCACTTGCAACAGGCATGTTCTAGCATTATATCCCCGACGCAACATGGTTTTTTTAGACATCGATCAACATCTACTAACCTTTTAGAATTCTCGTCTCTAATCAACCGAGGATTTCAAAGTGGCTTGCAGACTGACGTCATTTTTACAGATTTCAGTAAAGCTTTTGATTCTGTTAATCATA